TTGTATTTCACCATTTTTAAATATATGTTTATGCTGTAAGTTCTCTTCATTTCAGCATATATTTTGTGTCTATTTCCCTCATTCCTTTGCCACGGCGATAGATTTCTACCCTTCTTGTGCACCCATTTCATTAGTAATGGGTCCTAACATCGCCATACACCTATAATCTGGTGGTGTAAACTCTGTCTACAGACTCACATTCATTCACCAACTCACTCATTCACTCACTCGCACTCACACACACAAACAGTGCACATGCTGATTATCACAACTACGTAATCTCATTTTGTACTGTTGTTTTTTTTCACCACTTTTTTGGTTTTCTACGAAATGTTCAATGTTTAACCATATGCTAACCTGTGTTCTCATAATAAAGAAGGGATGCATGACTTCAACATTATATGCAGATCTTTTCATCGTTTTACTCAGGCTAGTGAATCCAGAATACTTAAAGAAACGTTTCTATTGAAGTAAACCTATACTTCGACTAAAAACTGCTATGAAATATGTTCGAGTGTGTTTGAAAAATAATTGAGTGCCTGCTATTCCAATACGAAGTCTTTAATTACTTAAAGACTTAATTGAAGATGGTAGGTACTATTCCAATAGCGTTCGGTTTCTTATAGTGTAGCTACCTTCTACGTCATGTTATGTTTCACCGTACTGTTACAGTAAATGGAAACTAACAATATTGGAAATATCAAGAATTTTTATCCGAATGTTGACATATTATAAGGAACTGAATCTTTATCATCGAGTGGAAAATAGTATCTTTCCCCTTTCTCCCTCTACCAATTTCTCCATTAAACTGTAGAAACCATTTGTTCCGGGTTCTCGAATCAGTTGTACTGTCACATTCGAACCCGATAAGACAAGATATTATGAGGATGTGATTCGAGTTCACACAGAGGTGAGTGTGTTTCTTTGTTTAATACGAATTGTGTTGATTATTATTAATTTCCAAACGCCAGTTCTGCTTACTCACTAAACATCATAAAATATGAAAGATAACTAGATATGGACGTTATATTTGAATGAAATACTAGAAAAATGCAGTGAAAATGACCTGACATGACGTTTAATAGCTGTTGCTTCTGTCATTAATTAATTAATTAAGATAATTCAGTCAAAGAATAAATGAATGAATGAATCAATCAATCAGTCAGCCAGTCAATCAATCAATCAGTCAGTCAGTCAATCAATCAGTCAGTCGGTCAGTCAGTCAGTCAGCCAGTCAGTCAGTCTGTCAGTCAGTCAGTCTGTCTGTCTGTCTGTTCGTCTGTCTGTCTGTCTGTCTGTCTGTCTGTCTGTCTGTCTGTCTGTCTGTCTGTCTGTCTGTCTGTTTAATGTCATTTTACTTCAGCATTTTTATCTTAGCTGGTAAAATATCTTTTGTTTTGTTTACAGGATGAAGGCAACCACTTGCTTATTCCTCTTTATGGTTATCCAGTTGTTGAAAATCTAGACTTTCCACAACTAATCCGTCTACCAGTTGTGCCGTTGGGTGAATCGTAAGTCACAAAAAGCTAACATTTACACCGAAGTATCGATCTCACTTCTTCGGCAAACTGAAGTTGAGGCCGTTTACAAAATTTGAATTTCGTATTTAAAACCAGTTTTCAAAAAAGCTTCTATCGTACAGAAAATTCCTTTCAGTCGTATTTAATCGTAGTGAAAATACTTTCATTACATCTAAACAAATGGCAAAAATATCCGGTCTTCATTAATGACCGAGTACATAAGACCAATGTTTGAGTTTTGCTGTTTAGGTTTATCATAATTGAATCGCGGAGGAAGTTGAAAACAAAGTCCGGTAGGCGAGATAAACTGTTTTTCGACAAATGCATCATCTGGCCATTAAATTATATGGGGTTATTTGGGTTCGCCGATCCGGTTTTGATCGCATCAAACTAAGTACAGAACATATGTCAAGATTGTTTCGCCAATGCTGCTCTCAATTCGTTCATTGATGCATCCTCCGGGGGTGTGGATGGGAGATTCTTCATCCGAGGCCATGGCGCCATGGTTATTTGGATAGCTAACGACTTGACTGCACATAGAATGCTATGTGATAAATGGTGCGGAAACCTTGATTAACATTGATAGTGTACCGTGTCTCCAGTATATGTTGACAGAAAACGCTTTTCGCCGTGTCTCAACCAGCGGGGGTGGTGTTAAAAATAAAACAGACCGAAATCCATCACCGATCAGAGAGTAGCTAACTACCGGCACTAGTGACTTCCATCATCTGAAAGTGTATTGTTCTGCAATGTAAATATTCTCGTTTTGAAACAAAACAAAACGATACATACTGCGTTCATGCTAATTTAACTTTAACCGAGGGCTTGGTTATGGGAGTCATTGATCCAAATAAAACTTTCTATTTACCAATCATTTTTAGAATTTTCAAATATCTCTCAAGTTTATTGCTTAAAGCTCCGTATTTCCACGTTTTGTAATCGTATCAATAAGAGTTTTGTACTTTGAATTTCATGAGTGCTATCAAACGAAGTCAGAACAGATACACCTCTACCCAGTGGTGGGTCCATTAATTTATCTACAGTGTTTTCACCTTCAAAAATAATAAAAACACGATAAACTTTACCCTTCCGTTATTTGATGTAAAAGAATAAACAGTCAGTATTCCTATGGATACGCCTTTGGTCATTCGAAGTTTGCGAAACAATAAACTCGAAGACAGGGTTTTAATAGATGAACTAGGGATGAGAGGGTCACGGCCTACACCGCTCAATCAATAGATTCCTTCAAATGGTGTTTTATTTTCTGTGCTACTTGCGTTATAATTCCAAAAGATTGCACATCAGTAATCTGGCATGCATAACACAAAAATCTAATCACAAACATACCATCGCAGTTTCTGTCTACATGATGGGTAATGAATGTAGCAATTGATAACTATTCTTTGAGACCCAGAAAATTGCTCTCGGTCATTTTGTTAACTTTTGGTTGTTGAAATAAATCACTACTCACAAGTAAGAAGTATCTCACAACACTTGAAGTTTAGATGAGTTATGAACAGATGGGATACTCACAAAGGTCCTAACTGCAGGATTCAACATGGCAAAATATAATACCACTTGCGTCAGAGGCTGAAGTTACTTGTCTCGTACGTGTGCTTTTAGGACCTTGTAAACACAGTTATATATATGATTACTTTGAAACAGAAAATTCACCAGATAATAATCCGGACAGTTTTATTGGTTTTCACAGGTGAAACATTGTAACCAAAGTGATTGCTGCAATCATCGCGAAATAGGACTGGAATTCAGATAATCCAGATTATCACATGCCATTGTATAATGGAAAACGTGGGAGATGGGTAACATGCAGTCGAATTATCTGGTTTTGTTTAGTAAATTCAATACACGTTATTGCGCGGTGGATCAGGGTGGACATGATTTATATACATATTTTACACCCGCAGAAAATTTTTGTACGATTTTAAAGTCGTTTTCACTCAATATATTTATTGGCAGCCTACTCCCTTCTTTTCCTCATCCTATTATGATCGTAATGTGCTGGTTCTTCAATATGGTGTGTTGTATTAATACCTCCGTTTTTTTCCAGTCTAACACACACCATTTCACTGGCATGCAAAACAACCACTGATTTTCAGTTTTCCCTTAAGAAGTGCAGAGATCATCCGAATTTCGACGTCAACCCAACTGAAGGTAAGTCTGCAAATTTATGCATTGAATTACTCATTGTTGAAGCATTATGCAGATGAAGTCATGGACTAGTAAAAATTTAATGAACCCATATAGTCCATTTCGAATTATAAAACTGACCATAATCTATCCAGAGTCTATGAAAACTATATCTAGAACCCGTATATTATATGCTGAATTATCGGATGTTTATAAGACTTCTGTAATATTTTCTTTCGTAGCATTGAATTCAGTTTATTAGCTTTCATTTTTGGAACTTGCCTGAACAATTAACTTGATAAAGTTATTAGTATCACAGTTGGAACGTTAAAATCACTTCAAGTTACGTAACCCAATCTTGTGTGCATAAAGGTTTCCGACACAGTCACTCAAAATGCCTTGGAACTGATTCATCTCCCCCGCTACCCTGACCGTTGTCCGTTGAACCATTGCAGTTATAAACAATTGCTGACATACATATTAGATTGATTTTACGTTGTTTCCACTGAGGAGATTAACAGGAATGTTAATATTTCACAGTATTTGTCTTCCCTCTGTTCTAAAGAGTTGAAATTACCATTAGATCAATACACAAACCTGTGGCGTCTTTGCAGCAATAACGAGGAAATTACTAAATTAACATCCTTAAACCTTTGACCCACAGCCCAAAGTTGCCAAATGATCCCACTGTATACAGCACAACCTGAGGCTTATAAAAACAGGTCATATAAGTTTAGAGACGATAATAACTAATTTCGTCATAATAAATGAAGAGCGATCAATTAAAGCATTTCATCATTTTGTTGTTAGGTCACCATTGGTTTTAACTTCTAGTTAATCAACAAATTTTAATGAGGTACAGATGCACACAAAGCCATAATCCGTTGAACTAAAAGAAATGTTTTCTGATCGTCAAGATATTGCAATCATCCGTGCGGTTCGAACGCATGCCGAGAAACGATATCGAAACTGGTTCAGGTGAAAACGTTTGGTATTGTCTGCCGAGCAAAAAGGTGTATTGTTTAATATTGCGTTTCATCGGGCCTTCAATCGGATGTGTCGTTAAACTTAAATGTTCAGTGTTCATGATGAAGGCTATAAACCATAGAAAGTAGGACTTGGATCGCGAAAGTAAGAGGAAAACTTAATTGTGCACTCCATTTCACCAAGTATCGCATCCTCCAAAGTTGAAGCGTTCAAAAGTTTCCCAAAGTTTGTGTGTCTATTCCTTTCTCTGAGCTGTCGGTAGTGCCAGTGTAGCTCTAGTACACTGATGTATCTGTGCCAGCCAGTTCGTGCTTAATTTAAGGCAGGTATTGCGCAAATTACTTCTTCGATGTAAATCACAGTTATTTTAAGTTTGTGCAGCAATGAACCCAACACTATAGTGCACCATCTTTGCTGAATTTCAACCAAGTCAACCAAGGAATAGAAGAGTAAAGCAAACGATAATCTAAGTTTCATACTAAGATAATGAACTGTGATAATTTCTCTTGAACAAGATTCTAATATAGTGATTTCAGAGCTCAATCGCCTTTCACGTCTTTCAACTACTGTAGGACAGCAAGCCAGAAATCCTGTTGGATGGTCTGGGTGACACAGTCAGGCTCACATGGGTGGTGGTAGTCAAGCGATTTAAGTTCCAGCCACCGGCGTGATTTGGTCCTCAGGGCCCCAGATTCGGACCCCATCGCTATTCAAAATTGGCGATAAGCAGTGTCGCTGTCGTTTGGCTTAATACTACACCTAAACCAGTGAGGAGTCTCATTGTTCGCTACTCCATACACTGGAGATCAGGTTGCCGAATACCATGAGTGAACAGCATGTCCTCACGAAGACGGGATTTGCTCCGTCTGTCATACAGGGGTGGAATATGAAAAGAACGAGTTATACACCTCGGTGTCCATAGTTCTACTCTTAAATGCTCTTTTCTAAACGTTAAATGGATACCAAATCCAGAGAGCCATGACAAACAGCTATGAAAATATATATTTTGTTACTCACAAACAAAAACTATGCCTAATGGTTATGAACACTCGCTATGTTTATTGCAGGCCAACTTCGAAATGGAGAAACTTCGGATATTGTGATACGTTTTACGCCAACGGACTATACAACCTGTCGTCTTGACCTGGAACTACATGTGTCTCAGATTCATTTTCAACCGAAAAGATGTTCAATTATTGGATGGTGTCAGCCGGGGCTTGATGTGTATGTTTATTATCATCATTTCCACTTAGTTTTGACGGTTCATCATGCTGAAGGAACGTTTGATTCGTTTCTAAGTAGTACTGAATTATATTTTTCTTTTCAAACCAATTTTTCACCGGTCAACAAACGTGTTACGGCAACTTGCGTCAAACCTGTCATTCTTTCAATACCCATCTATCAATTTCAAAATCGCTTAATAGCGTTGTTCTTTCGATATCTGACTCACTACTTTTGGGATAGCGTCACCGTGAAACTCAAGATATTTTCATTCTGAGTTGGGAAACAGTTGTACAGATCCAAGTCAGATGGTGACCATTCTCACTTAAACAGGAAACAACTACTGATAAGTCCCAGTAACAACAAGAACAGCGGAAAGGCTGTCCCTTGCTACTCGTTAACCTTAACATATTCAAAGTGTATAGGAAATGCATAAAAGAGAAGTAACTCTCATGGACTTCAATTCAGACAAAACAAAAATATCCGAATCTGTATTTGAAAGTTCACATTTGATACGAACAAAGTAGTCTTATGTCCACATTGGTTACGTATTGCAGGGCTTCAACTTCCAAGCACAAGGTTTACGCTTTGACTTCTGGCAGGGACGAAAACAGAACGCATCGTTGATGAGTCCTGGAGTGAACAAAATAGCTGTCTAGTGCCCTTTGTCGGTCTCCAGATAAAAGTGTTTGATGTCGAGAATATGTAATGGGTTGAGATACAGGAAGTTCGAGTCAGTGCAAACCGCCGCAGAATCAAATTGCACACATAACTGTCCATGTGTAGGTTTATAATTGAAACAATCAAACAACATTTAGAGTGTCAAGCTTGTATTAGCCCATTCGATTGTTCAGAAGCACTGGGTACTCTTGGTGGTCTTGGGTATGGGTTTCACTCCTTAGGAGGTCGTTAATTCTCCACGAGATAATGCATTCAAATGCGATGGAAATGTTTGTGATAACCAACAATGAGTACTGGACAGCTGTTTCGTCCTGTTTGGGACTTGCCAGCAGTGCGTGTCCCTGTGTCCCTGTCAGGACTCGAACCGTTATCAGTCGGGTAGGGACTTCAAACCCTCACCCTTGAACTACACGGCCGGTGTCTGGTGCCTCTGAACCATCGAATTGGCCAATCGAAGCTTGACACTCTAAACTGATTGAGCCGTTCGCACAAGGTGATGACCGTCAGCCGTGTAGCTCAGGGGTAAGGGTTTGAAGTCTCGACCCTACTGATCGTGTTTCTGGTCCTGGCAGGAATACAAAACGTACGCACTGCTGACGAGTCCCAAACAGGACAAAACAGCTGTCCAGTGCTCTTTGTTGGTTAACAAAAACATTTCTATCGCATTTGAAAACATTTGGAGTTCTCTATATCTACAAAACCAAAATCAGTGCAGCTTTATGATTGATCGCACTAAACTCACCGGGTGTCCGATCACTGTCTCGCGCGGACCCGCACCCAACGACGCATACAAATGAGTGCTTCGCCAAGTTCCATCCCATTTAGACCAAGTGGTTTTATTGAGTCGGATTAGTTTTGTTTTATAGGTGCACTCCAATTTCAGCAGATTTGCTGGGTAGGCACTGCTGCTGATTTCTAACATTTTGGATGATGCACGGATTACAAGGGATGTTTCTAACGGAAAGGGAAAAACATTCATTTTACAAATTAATCTTACGATATGGTCCACATCAAAGCTTAGCATACTACATTGAAAATCCTGACATGGTATTGCTTTGCCTTGGGTGTATCTTCAATAATTTTCGGGATTTCAAAAAAAAACGAATTGTTTTGCGATGGTCTTGGAACTGAATGTTACAATGGTTTTGTTGAATAGACCGAAGTACATCCGATTGTGCATTTCTTCCCCCCATTGGCAACACGCATAAAAATGAAGCCGACTAGGTAAGGAAAGTTTTGCTGATTCCTACGGTATAACGGACGCACAGGATGCAGCCTTATTTACTTTGCAACCTTTGGAGAGAGCACGTCGATCGAAGATTCAGCGGGAGTTACACAAATCGGCCTCCATAATGAGAAACATCAAGGTAATTGTTTGGTGAGCATGATATCTTTCAAGTTTTTATTGCTCTTGAGCGCCACTCGAATATCACTGAGATGCTGTCTACGTGGTTCTCAGTCGGAGTTTCCTAGACAAAGGGAAGATGACTGAAGGAAGGACTGACTAAATATAATTCCGGAATGATATGTTTTGCTCTTATTACCGTTCACCGAGGATGCGTATCTGGTACTCTAACACGGAATCACCCGTGTGTTTATATTTCAGATAATTTTTAAGAAAAGCACATAAAAGCAAAGATGCTCGTTTCAAAGAATTCATCAAAAGCTGATGCCTTATAATTTATTTCAAATCGCTATTGGGGAAAATATATTACAGAGTAAAATAATCAGTTATTCCCATCACAAATTTGTAATTTTCATCTTGCAAACATTCTACGAGACACATTGTTCAAACGCCATCCATTTCTGAAGCTCTACTGTGTTTATAAGTTACTGTTTATAAATGAAAAGCTGCGCACAACTAACAGTTGGCTCAGTGCCGTTTTTCTGAGCACTATGTCGAGGGCAACAATTCCAAAGTCGGTTATGTGCTTCAGGGAATATTTTCAGTTATTTAGATACTTGTCACATCATACTCAGATAACGCTGCTCCGTCAAATACGTAGCTTCTGACCTAAAACGATAACCGAGAATGATAACACTGAATAAAAAGAACGGACAGAAAAAATACCCAAGACGGAAACCTCGAGATGCCGAATAAGCACTTGTTCAGATATACGCAAAGATATATATCTATGTAAAAACGGAAGAAATAAATCCTTAAAAGTGATTCATTTTAATTTTCAAGCAACTACTGATCCGTCGCCTGAGTATTTCAGCTGATGCAATCAGCATTATATTGGTACTCATGCACCATCTGCTTCAGATGGCAGTTAAGATAGGGTTTTATCACTAATCCTGCATACTTTCCCAAGGTGATCGATTATAAACAAGTAATTTCAAACTTTGCCTTCATTTTCCGTACTTATATTAGAGTCCACCGATAATTGGTCGATTTTAATTTGATTTCTTTTTATACAGGAAAAAGTTCCCCAAAGTGAGCCACTTGTGGTAAGAGAAATTTCCTGTCCTTACCACGTGACCCAAATGCTCTGTAAAGACTCAAGAAAGGTGATTCGGGAGGATGGGCCATACAAGCGACGACAACAGAAGGTGAATGATAATTAAAAAAACAAGATTGTGGTTTATCTGATACAATCTTGAGTGATGATGGTTGGCAAATAAGTGCACACTGCGGATCGCAGGCATGGAAACAAGCTAACAGACGCCAGGATTATTTTGCGTATATTTTACGTCAATTCCACTTGTCATCTTGACAGATTACTTATGAGTAGATAAATTATTCTTTTACATTTTGATTACACTTCAAATTGTTTCTGTTTGTCAAAACGAAGGAAATAAAATTTTTCATAAACCAATTCCGTTTTGAAGGTGCTTCCAGCTTCCTTAATATCTGATCACCTATTTTTAGGTCGATTCAATTCTTGAGGCACACGATAATCAATCCACCCTTTATTCCTATCTCTGTTGGAAAGTGAGGTGGTATAGTTTCTTTTCAGTTGGACCTAGTATTTGAAATGACAAGTAAAATTCGTGCAATTAATGTGCTGGTTGCATGAACTTTAATACATAACCTTGTTTTCCACATTTTTGTGTCCACCCAAGCAGCTTGCATTAATGGCCCAATGTGCTGCTGACCAATTCGCATCCCTTTCCTTCGCTGTTGTTGAACATACAAATTTATAAGCATTTTTCAAGAATAGGGGAGTGTTCAATCAAAAGGAGTAGTCGGAGGTGCGAAAGGAAAAAGAAAATGTACGACAATGACCATTTTCATTTCACTACCGTTTGTAAACTTCAGCGAGCTCACTAAATTTCATCTTTATAATCAGTAGATGAAAGGAATGTGTTGTACATTTTTATTCAAGTGTGCATGACAAACTTTCGTGATACTCACTGAAAGTGTGCATTTATCTCCACGGTGTATCATTTACACATCTTTATCCTTGTTCAATCTGGCGAATTGTTGATGCGATAAGTTGACTGGATAAAGCGGAACAGCTGAAGAACGACACAAGTCTCTCACTTCTACAAATCTACACCAAAGCTTCTAGTTTATATAAGTCCGACAGTTGATTGAAGCTGCTTTATCCCTTTTCCCCAACGGTCTGAAATATCATTGATGATATGCCACCCAACAAACTATTCCAACTAGGTTCTTTCCAAGGTTGTGCTCATGAGATAACGACGGACCTAAATTACGTGCTTCTGCTATTGATTATTTGTAGAGCAAATGTTGGTCCCCAATAAAAGTGGACATAGAATAACGGGATAGAAGAGAAGAAAAACTTCACTCTAAGCTTACTGTGTGCACTACCTGCAAATGCATCCAATAACACGTTGGAGGGCATTTATGTAGTGAACTTAATTTACAAAAGCTGTTTACAAAAATAAATTATTTGTAAACTTCGCTTAACTAAGCACTGGACTATTTATTTCTATTCCCACCCGCTCTCCCAGGTTTTGGCCTTCGAAGCACTGATTCGTCAAGATGCGAACGAAGAAAGACGGAATCAGGTACGTTGGCAAGCCAAAACTGGACAACAGCCGATTTCGGCCGGTAAACGTGAGCAGATTCGACGTGAATGGGAGTCTGCATGGCAAAACCATTTGGTGAGCTTACGCCTGAAATTTAGGTGGATGATGACCGTATACTGCAATTTTCGATCCCCTATACATCTGTGTTCTGTGCAAACTACTGAGTCCAAGTGGTTTTCCGATACTCAGATTTATTGAATGTCCCAAATTAAATTGAGTGCATTCAGTAATTTAATCATTTTGAAAGGTTGGCTTATCGATTTGTGGGTTGCTTCCTGATCGCATTAGCAAACGGTCGCTAAGAACGCATTCAACTAACTTGGAAAATTCAGATGAAACTAGCCCAGGGACGATGTTTTAATGACTATACAGATTATTCATACATAAACGGTCAACGTGAACGACTGATACCGCCATTATCAATCATAAATATGTGAGTCAAACTCGATGTTAATCTAGAAAAGCCGAAATACTATATTTAGAAGTTGTGAATGGTGACGTTATTTGATATATATATATATTCATGTGTATGTGCATGTAATATAAGATATAAATACTGAAGTTGGCTGTGAGTCTTAAATCTGAAAATATGATCAAGTCCGACGCAAGCGTTGATACTGTATGAGATCCATCGGATGCAGTGACGTAAATGAGTCCTCCTAGTCGGACAGCCTGGAAGAAGATTGCGATTTCTTCCAACCTGGAAGTGTCTAGAGTCTTTTAGGGTGTCCGTAAAAAAGGTTAAACCTAATTACTCCAAAGGTATTAAGAAAGGATACTATAAAATGCCTAATAATTCTCGATGCTCGCGGTGTTTACGCTATTCTGTCAAATAATAAACGGAATCAATTAAATTGTGACTCCCAAGTAAGCTTCGGTGGCCAGTCACTGGCGATATTGCTTGTTATTATATGGAGTGTGAACGCTGAACTGTATGTGTGCGGGTCTAACGAAGATTTGGATCAACTAATATCCGTTGTGATGGTAAAATCTGGGAATCTCAAACGTCAAACAGATCACATCAAATTTCCAGATGGAGTTGATTAGCTTCAACAATTAATTGACATGATAGAGATGAATCAAATTAATACGCAAATACTGTTATTGATCTTAACAACGTTCATTGGTTTCTGACCGGGCTCGAATAAGCGATTTGTTATCTTTGTGTAGAATGGAACAGTGCTTGAAATTAGAAGTAAATTGTGGCAGTCAACATCTTGAATCTACCCGCTAACTTTTCGGTACTGATGGAGTTATGTTATAAACTAAAATAAATGATTAGGGATTGAGGTTGTTCACTTATTCACGCTCAGAAGAGTAAGTACATGAAGGCGTAAAGTACCCAGTGAAATAATATTACCAAGGAACATTTTTCGAGCTGCAGAAAGAGAGTCTGAGTATCGTTTATTCTGGCCTACATAATTATGGTAGTAACCACTCAGTAAATACCCAAAACAGTTGTATATTCCTCATTAGATATACTCAGTGAAAATACTCGTCTATATAATTTCTTTTGTACAAGCAAACTGTCCACAATAAACCTAGAAGCTCAACATTGTCTGTTATTTATTGTCGCACACAGAACCAGTGCACAAATTTGGAAAGTGTGCTTCAAAAGCCGATAATTAAATACCCTGAACTAATTAGACGGAACGAGGACAACAACAGTGTTCAACCGCGTCCACATCGACCTGCACAAGCTTCGTCTAACCTCACTGTGACACCATCATTCCGAACTAGACGACTTCCTACAGATGGATGGACAAAAAGGTGGGATCGGCTTAATCGATTTCGTCATGCTGTATCCAAATTGATTATTCGACAGCGAATGACAGGTCGTTTGAAGATGATCAAAAACCAAATTCATGTCAAATCCATCAATGAAGAAAATGATGGTTCCGAGGAAGGTTCGTTTTGGTAGTTTGGTGTGATTTTTCTCAAACCATTTGAAAATGTTTTTAAGAAGAAGCATTATTGGTAATTATGTTTTTGCATTTTCGTCTGCATAGAGCTGATCATTCCTGAAGATATAAAGGACAAAATCGGGTATAGAATAACTAAAAACTCGTTGGATTCAATGAAAAGAAAAATGCCTTTTTACTGGACGGAGCAGATCAGAACCAGTGCGACCGAATATAACAAGTATCAGCCCAATGTAGAACCATCTCATCAGTCGGCAATCGATATCGCTGAAGTGACTGCTACTATTGCGATGCCACCACAGAGTTGGCCTGTGTTCGAACTTTCTCCTCCTTGGGAATGGCAGTTAGCGGGTTGTGAGATGTTTGACCCGTTGGAAGCACGTGACCTGGCTTTGCTTATCAGCGACCCAGCATCAATGGAAGTACAATGGATGGTCCCCTTCCTGGTAGGTTAACAATCGTCTTCAATATATTTTTATAATTTCTCTAGCTTCGATTTATCGGTGGCATTCATTTTTGCTCCATTGCTTGAAAAATCACGACCATTTTTCTTAGAGACTCAAACTTGCTTGCAAGCTTTCGAGCACGTCGTAGCTTCCTTCAGGTGTTCCCAACGTTTTTTTCACTCCTCATGCCTAACACAAGATTAAATGAGTGAAGAAATCCCTCAATGAGAATCCACTAACCTGTATTTTATACTCCATCTATATTATGCGCTTCATGGGAATAACCTAACACGGCTAACAGTTTGAGACCCAGCATTCATTAATTATTTGTTTGTGGTAGCTAATAGAAACAAATTGACGGCATTATAGGGAAAACTGTCACCGTTTGCATAAAAAGGGACAAATGTAAAAAGCAAGTACTTTTCCGAGATATGTTGTTAATTCTTACCAATTTTTGATGGTTTCTTTACCTGTGGTACCTAACGAAACTTTTCTCGATGAGAGTATCGACAGCCATGTTTAACTTTCATATACCATTTGGTATTGGGAGACATGGGATACGAAATATTGATCAGTTCAAGTAAATACCTCAGTTGAGTTCGATGACCGTGTAGATTTGCACAAATATTAACGAGAACATGATTTGTCAATTTCCTAGCGTTGTCCCATGAATTCAGTGTTATCGTCTTAGATAAATCATTTAGCGCTTATTGTTTTGTTACTCTGCCTTGAATCGTGGTGGCTAACTACGGTGTTATTCTGTGCATGGCGCACGTTAAAATGAATACGTGTTCCAAGAATGTCTTTGTTCACTATCTAGTTCCCCACACTTATTTGAGGCAGTGAGTATTGTTTGATGTCCTTGTCAATAGTAGAACTGCTAACCCGAAGGTTGGAAGCCGAAAGCTTTACTGCTGAGCCGCACCATCGATGACAGACGGACTGAAAAATACGGTTCCAATAATCATGGGTGCCAGGTTTATATAAGTTTTCGACAAACCCTAGGTCTGACATACGATCGTGTGTTTCAGACGTATAAGTTTCATTTTACTAGTGCCGTCTGTTTTAGACGTATTTGCAGTGCTTCAAAGGACCTGTGTTCTACAGACACTCATGCATATTTCAAAACATCAGCTTGCTGATTGAGATCATTTTAGAGTGTGGCTTATTATCACTCAGAATCAGTTATAAGAGCGAAGTTAATTATTTTTGTTTCCCATTATTTCCTGCATTAGGAATCTCGGCTGGACATTGCTCAACGTGAAGACAAGATCACAGTTTCTGAAAATAAACTGACCTATATTATTCCCACGGATAGGCGATTTCCAATCGGAGACCCCATGTCTCTGGCCAGTAGTGTGCTGAAGCCAACCAAAGCCGGAACTCTGAGTAGTGTTTCAGTCATGGTAATTGCAACAGAAAACCGTTCTATATTTGTTTATTTTATGAAACCAAAAAGGATTAAACCAGAATATTACTTTTTTATTTTTAACTCTCTAGAACATATCAACAAGTGTATTTTATGCGGTTAACATTAAGTAAGTATAACGCTTCTCGAAACATATTTTCGTAATAAATTGGGAGATTCAGATTCTAGTTCACAAAACTAACGCAGTTTAAAGATAATTGTGCGACGCAAGAAACAAACAAACAAATTTCTCTCTGGGGAAAACGTTGAATAACTACGAAAATAAGTTATTCACAATCTCAAGAAATAGAATTGAATGATTAAACTGAGTCAATTTTCTGTCAACTTACAGCAAAATCTTACTAATAGAGAGAGAGGTGAATCCGATCTTTTTTCATTCCTCTCGAAGAAATCTCCCTTGCCTTACCGTCTTATCACGTGGCTTGATCGTTCTGACACAGTGCACTTGCTTAAAATGAATTGGATCATGGAGACAATCTTACTTTCTCGACTCAGTCTATCTGAGTTTACTTTAATCTAAGAGAAATAATCATTCAGCACGTACAGCCGGATGTTCCGACGGTGCCAGAGATGTCTCAATTTGACAAATGCTAACGAAGCCCTCGGTATGCGTGTCGAAACGTTATCTATGACGAGTGTCATAGGTGAGATATAACTGCCCAGATAGCAAAATGTACCTGCTTACTCTATAACTTCCTCAGTCAAGGTGAGGTTGGGGGCTGCACCAACTCAATCCTGTAGAAACATTTTACAGTTTGAAAGTGCAAAGCACATACCATTACGGGAATAGGATATAAATTGTTTGTCTACGCCGCATTGCACGAGTCTGGTGGGGAAACCGAATAGGCAATGCTGAGTTTAGACGCAATTATCGTCATTCGCTGTCGTCCACTGGAGCAGGTGGTCGACCTCCACAGATTCTACTGGTTAGGACATTTGTTGCGCATGTTAACGAATAGGCTGCTACGGATCGCTACGGTAGCCGGTAGAAAGAGGTCAAGTGTGGCCAAACGAAGACCTGGCATGAGGTTATGAAACTCATAACCAGAACACAAGGTCACAAATAAACCGTTATGCTCCCCGGCTGCCCCTCTCCCTCCCCAGATCGTGGTGAGAGGTGGTTAGAAACGCTGAGTGATTTGGCTGGGTATGGCAAACAGTAGCGCTCAAGCATGTACTCAATATTCTTTCAACCCCTATCTTCACTTTGGATCTGTTCTCAACATTCTGCACTTTTATCTCAATGGGCAGTCAAAGGACAGCAACCAAAGCCGGCGCACGAAAGTGCATGGTTAATGGTTGTAAGAGCTGAAACTGAAACGCACCTAAGCAGTTATTCTGCCAGCTGCAACGGACAAATTGATTGTTCGCAAATGCCAAAATGTAGGTGATGTTAACAGGAATATTTGTAATGACCAACATACAGCACATTATACTGTTTTACTCTGTTGGGGACCCACTTACAGTTCGTACTTTTTTGTGTCCTTGCCATTAGTCCAACGGAGAACGTTTGGCTTAGATTTCATTATCCTTGCCGACACCCAAGATCATCAACAGTGCCAACTGCTTGTGTAAACCCCTATTAGCTATTGCAAACACTCACCGACTAAAGGTGATTCTGATAGTTTTCAACTGAAGTTGAATGATACCATGTTAGTCGCTCTGAACAACCACCAAAAATATTGATGAAAAAGGCAATTAAATTTCGACATGCTCCTGTGACACTCGATGACACTCGGGCTTATTCACTCAAGCTTGCAGTCTACTACTAAAACTGCGAATTCAGAAACTCCTCAGTGAAGAATATTGAACATAGGCTATTTCCATTTAGCCCGCAATAACTGAGCACCAGAGTTTGGCGTACTTTTCAGTACAGTGAGTTTGTTACTCTGAATGTGTAGACATGCGAAAAGTTGCATAGTGTTTCATTTCATTATTCATATGATTTGACTATCACACTGTATTTCACGCAGCATCCAGCTACAGAATAGTGGGAAAAAATTATCAGCACTTTCTAGTTCAAGCACCAAATTAATGCATCTGTGGATATTTAACCGTACCACACTTCTTCGCACAGTACGAGAGGCTCTGCAAACAGATTTAAGCTATGATGCACGATTAATCCTCTACAAACCTGTATCCCTAATCGCGTCAGTGGTTGTTTCAACCTTCGATTGGCCATGAATCATTGTGCTCATGGAATTTATTTTTGAGTAACCATCATTAGTAGATTTGAATAATTTGTGTATTTGACCCCCAAAACAATGAGGTAGGGAGGTTCGATATACTCATGGTATGTGGAACCTATTTGACTGTATTCATAGCCGGAAGTTCAATAGGGAACAGAAGAAACCAAAGTTCACGCATAACCTTGCACGCCGAGGAAAGTTTGTAGCGGGATACATTTGCGTTTCCATCCGTGTGAGAGTAGCACCGCATTCTAAATGGTTAGATCCGTTAACGATAGTGAATCTGAGAACGTGCGATAAATCCCAAATCCTTCTACTCCAACTAGGTGGGCCTCTCGATGAAATTGCGGATAGATATGTGCACACATGCTTGTCAACAGGTATTTCATATTTCATCTCACACAATTAAGAAACACGGAAGGTCTAATTCTTGGCACTTGTTAAGACTATGCCCCAGGGGGATACAAAAAGTTGAGTAATTTCGCTTGCCAGCAGTCAAAAAGGTAGGTAGTCAGTCCAGAGTACTCAATAATTTGGTCCTAATGAAATTATTTGTAATTGCGGAATGCAAATAGTTTAACAATGTGCTTATTTGGCCTCTGTTTTTCACTGTATTATCTAGTCTTTTAGGCATCAAGTGGACCGACCTCAAGTTGTATTATTGTTGAGTATTTGTTTTCCAATTCTGAACCTGTCATTTAAACCGAGAACGATAGGGGATATAAGCATTTTACTTGTGAACAGAGTAAACAGATTATTATTAACATTTGAATTGGGGCGCTCATCTTATAAATTTTGCCATGGTCTTGTAGAGGGTAATCAATTAATAACTACTAGCTCGTTTAGCCTACACTTCGTACGAAAATTAATATGGTGCATCCTGTAATAGACCAGTTAATTTGGCAGAAGAGTTGTAGAAGCTACGTTATTTATGGTATATATTTGATAATAAGTAGCGTATGAATGACTGGACAGATTTTCCTGGAAGCACACGATCGGTTTCGCGCCGCTCGTCAGGCGTGCGCATATGGTAATCTCTCGTCAGTTCATTCATATACTTGTACCCAGGAACGATATATATATATATATATATTTCACACACGTCTGAAGCCAGACTGTGCCAAACAAATCATGGTACAATAATGTTTATACAAAAAATGTTCAATCATTTGCATGTGGGTCGAATAGTCCCATGTTGCCCAGGTGAATTTTCTTGAGGAATCCAAAGCGGAGTCTCCGGCTAGCCAAAAGCTGACCCTTAAGGTAGCGAGGCCTTGTGTAAAAATCACAGTCCATTACCAACCGGTATCCAGTTCATTGCATCATACGCCCTTTGGACGGGGTCAAACATCCAAGGTGCCTAATACAACTCGATGCCCAATCGAGCCGGTGACCACTGCACCAACCGGGAAGGTGTGTGTGATTTGTACACCTCCTGATTGATTTGGAATCAGGGCTTTTGGATAGCCCTGCTAGGTGAACTACCAGTTATCCACCAACCCGGTTATAGCCCCGGATGTCCTCTTGCTTTGGCGGGAAAACACCTCCGCCACGAGAAAGCTTCCTCAGCAGAGGCTATTTGAGAAACTTGGTCGTTTGGGAGCATTTTGTGAGATGCAAGGGAAGGGTAACAAGCACCAAACAGAGACACTCACCCCCGACTATACTAAGGCTTTTGGAGGCCTTCACGATTTTTGCAAATAAGGAGCTATTAATAATCTCTGTTTGTTTGTGGCACAACATGGCTACTCTTCAGTAAATTCGAATCAGATCATTGCAGGAATCAAACGCGATAATCCGGGTCTCAGTTCGATCGAATATTGTGCAAACCTTTCATGATAACCAGTTCGAAGGATCCCCATACTACAATGCAAAGTTTAATCGCTGTTGATCATTTGTAGAAATTCTTGATATGGCATGAAGATACAGTTTATATTTATCACAATTCGGGCGTTCTCTACAATTTGACGGAACCGCACTTTAACTTATCTCTGAAGTAGCCGGAAAATAATTGGAGGTATTTTGAACATAAGTCGCTCGCGTTCAATGAGTTCACAGATTGTGGATTGATATCACGAAAAATTTTTCTCACAACTTAGAAAGCATACAAAATTTAACTCTCCAGCGCTCAGTGCATACGTTTCCCTGTTTGCAGCTGTTAGGGTGAGTGAAAATCACATTATCGGTTGTGTTTGCCCAAAACTAAAAGTTCAATGAATGCAGTGACACAGTTCTTAGGAATTCTTAAGATTCTCAAGATGCAGAATAATCTCGTCATTGGTTTTTGACATTCTTTAGCACTCAGTTGTGTTTTATTGCAAGGCGTACATGTTTTATAGTATATACAGTTCATAGTATATGTTTAGTATAGGGCACGGTGATTCATGTGCTGTAGTTCCCGGTGGCAAAGGTACGAAATTACTACCACGGAGGACAGGTGTTTAACTCTCGCCACCAACGCCTGAGAGCCCATTGACTGGCCGCTTCCTCCATTCTGAAAATTGCATCTTCTGCGTATTTAAATCAGGAAGTGAGTATGAAAAAAATCATTGAAAATTTTTGCTTCGGTGCTTGAAGTTACACAGCTTTAAAGGTGGAAAGAAGATGCTATCCAGGGAGAAAATCGGCAAGCTCCGAAGAACAGCATGCATTGTATTCACCAAATAAAATAAAAGAAGGAAGGGGCGATCGGAGAGTAGATCGAAAAATGCGTTTATTGGTGAGGTATATGTTCAAGTTATGGTCACAGTACTATTCGGGTTTGTAATGAGTGTATATTAGCGGAGAT